GCTGGATGGGCTCCAGGACTCGGTCCCCCGTCTCCGGCAAAGCTCGGGGTTGTCGGTTCAGAAGAGCATCGCATCGGCGGGGTTGGAACCGGAGGGGACTTTGCCGGACAGTGTCATTTCATAGACGCGCCGCGGGGCCAGAGGCGAGCGCGTAGCCCTCCGGGCCGGGCCTCCGCCTCGTGCGCTGAGCCGCGCGCGCCAGGCAGGCTGCTGCTCCGCATTGGGAGACGAGGGCCGGGGGGAAGAAATGAAAGCGACGTGTCCAAAGTCAGACAGCCGGAGCCCCTGTGGGTCACACCTGCGTCTCTGGGATCTGGGGCCCCGAGAGACGGCGCTGGGAGAGATCCCGTGGCGTCTCCACGCTGCCCGGAGGCTGCCGCAGAGGGCGGGTGCTTGGCGGGGTCCTCCCCGGCCTCACCGCTTGGGAGCTGCTCGGGGGGCAGCAGTTGGCGCGGAAGATGAGCCAAGGAACGGGCAGAGCCGGCGCGGGGGCGTCAGGTGAAGGGGCGAGCTGGCCGGGGGAGGGGCGGCGCCCCGTGTGCCGGGAGGGGCGAAGACGCGGTCAGGGCCGCGCGAACTGCAGTGGGGGCGGCGTGGTAGCGGCCGTGAGTGGAAGAGCAGTGAGCCGAGGAGCCTTCGCTGAGCTGTGGAGGGAAACGACTCGAGTCCACCTGCGTCCTCGTCCCTTCCCTGACGGAAAAGTCTAGAAGAGTCAGGAGTCAGGAGTGTTGGCCTACGAGCTCCGTGTGGCAAATAGGGTGCAGCCTCTGCGCCTGGGGCAGCTGGTTGGGGGTCACGGGGGCCTTCCTTGTCCTCAGGGGTTCCTCTCCCCCCTCACTCATCCTGGAGCCCCCGATTCCCTGGGCTTGTGTGCCCGAGAGGTAGATGCGGAGACCGGAAGGGGGTCCCTGGTGCTCCCCGCACGGGGAGGGGTCGTGCCCGGCTCAGGGAGACGCTTCCCGCCAGCGGGACGCAGCGCCTCTGGTTTAAGGGGCCAGCGGCAGTCAGCAGGAACCTGGACTGGACGGGAGAGGCCGCGGGGTGCGAGGCGGCGGCGCCTGCGCCCAGCCAGCTCCCCGATAAAGCCCCGCGAAGGGGAAGGGCCAGAGGCCCCTGGCTCCGCCGGGCCCCCCGCTGATGCATCCTCAGTGGCCCCCCACTGCGCACCCCACTTGGCGATGTCGTCTCTGTCCCAGGCTCAAGCACGAGTCGTCCTCCAGCGACGAGGAGCACACCGCCGCCAAGCCGTCCAGCACCGGCCACCTCCCTCTGCTGCCCAGTGTCAGCTACAAAAAGACCCTCCGCCTCACCTCAGAGCAGCTGGTGCGTGCCCAGCCGGCTGGGCTGTCGGGCACCCCCCGGGCTGGGCCCCCGGGGTGCCCACGCTTGCAGTGGCCCCGACCCTGTGGCTCCCCGTGTCGAAGCCCCCGAGGCGCCTCCCAGACTCTGTGGCTCTTGCCCTGAGCGGTGGCCGGGGCAGCCGAGCGCCGTGTAGAGATGTGCCCCTCAGCGGCCTCCCCCCTGCGGGGAGTGAAGCCGCTGTGGGGGTGCGGGGGCTTCCCACCTTCGCCCGCCCCGGGGCCCCGGGGCCTGACAGAGGCAGCCGGGCTCCGTGGGCCTCGCCCGTCCATGGGGAGCTGATCAGGCTGTTTCCTGCGGACCTCAGGCAGGCGACTGCTCACCCATGAGCCCTGCCCTGTGCGGGCAGCCAGCGTGGGGCGCCCGGGGGTGGGGACCCCATGTCAGGCAGCTGCTGACCCGCTCCAGGTCCCCGAGAGGGACAGCTGCTTCTGAACTGGCTGTGGTTTCCCGGGCCCAGGGCTGTGCTTCCCGGGGGTGTCCCGGCCCCCCCCCGGGCCCGCCCTCCTTCAGGCTTGCCGCACCCGGGCTCCCAGTCACAGGACCGATGGGGCCTGTCCTGAACGGATCCTTCACGCCAAGTCCCAGACGTCGCCTCACCCTACCTGCGCGCCCCCCGAGACGCAGGGTCAGGCTGGCTGGGCGCGGAGCCCTCCCGGCGGGCCGGCGGACAGCAGGTGGCCTTGGAGGGGAGCCGGGCGCAGCTGCCCGAGCCCAGAAAGCACCGGGGCAGGACGGGGAAGAAGGCTCGCGAGGGCTCGCCGCACGGTGACCGGAGCCCGGCCCTGTCTTTCAGAAAAGCCTCAAGCTGAAGAACGGCCCCAACGACGTGGTCTTCAGTGTCACCACGCAGTACCAGGGCACGTGCCGCTGCGAGGGCACCATCTACCTGTGGAACTGGGACGACAAGGTCGTCATCTCCGACATCGACGGCACCATCACCAGGTGGGTGGCTGCCCGGCGGCCGGCCAGCTCCACATCCGGGCTGGCCGGAGCTGTGCACCGGTATCGGCCCCGGCTCCGCCCTCGGGTGGGGGTCCCTGGCGCCTGGCCGGGCTGGCACCGGCCCATGGGCGGCCCTGGAGCGCGCCCTGTCGGGGCGGCCCGTGCCTCCCTGCGCCCCCCGCTCTGTGCTTTGGTTTGGGGCTCTGCCGGAAAGCCAGGTGTGGCGCCTGCCGTCTGTTTTGTTGAAGGTCCTGGCGGGCGGTGCTGGCGGCCGGCATCGTCCTCGGGCCACGCGCGCTCACGCCAGCCTCTCCCTCCTGGCTCTGTGTAGGTCAGATACTCTGGGCCACATCTTGCCCACCCTTGGGAAGGACTGGACCCACCAGGGCATTGCCAAGCTGTACCACAAAGTAAGCCAGTAAGTACAGGCCGCCGCCCTCCCCGCCTGGGCCGTCTGCCGTGACCGGGTGCCCGGGGGCTGTGGGGCGGCCGGCTCCAAACCCGGGCTCGATGCCAGGGGCGGGAAGGCAGGCGAGAGGCGAGTGGAAGTCGACGGAGGGAAAGTGGCAGCGCCAGGGCAGCCTCTGCCCAACGCTGAGGAGTTGGGGTCCTCACCGAGGGCGGGAGCCTGAGCAAGCCTGAGCCTTGGGCCTGGCGCCGAGGGGCGCAGGGTCAGGCGGGGCCCGCAGAGCCGGACTGCGAGCCTGGGCAGCACTGGCCGGTCGCCTGGCTCACCCCGCACGCCGGCGGCCATGCCCTCCTGTGGGTCATCCACCTGCTGCCCACGCTCTGACGCGCCGCGCCCTGCGTGACCCGGGGGCTCGGGGGGCTGTGCGGGGGGCCTGCATGTCAAAGAAACGCCTGTGATGCGGATGCACCCCGCCCTGGTGCCCCCCTTTCCGGCAGCCAGAGCGAATTCTCTAGAATGAGCCTCCAGACGGGTGGAGGACGCCCCCCTGGGGCTAGGGGCTGTTGAGCTCCAGGAGCAGAATTGCTGAGGGGGCCAAGGGTGTGTCCGGTGCGTGGTCGGAGCCCCTGAATCGCCCCCGCCGCTGAGGGGGCCGAGGCTGTGTCCGGTGCGTGGTCGGAGCCCCTGAATCGCCCCCGCCGCTGAGGGGGCTGAGGCTGTGTCCGGTGTGTGGTCGGAGCCCCTGAATCGCCCCCGCCGCTGAGGGGGCTGAGGCTGTGTCCGGTGTGTGGTCGGAGCCCCTGAATCGCCCCTGCCGAGGCTCACGGCTCTGTGCCCCTGGGCAGTGGGGTGCAGACCCCGCCGCACGGCTGACCTTTCACCCACGAGGGCTGATCCGGCGTGAGCTGCCCACTCCCGCGGCCTGAGAACTGCGGCTGCTCTTTGGCTGGAAGCGGCTCTGGTCAGGACGTGCGGGGTTCACAGGCTGAGTCACTCGCTTTTCGGGATATAAATCCACTTCTGTCCTTGCTGGCTGTCCCGTGGGGAAGGCGTGTGCTATTCTTTGGGTCTTGGTTTGCTTCTTGGGGTTTTCCAGAAAAGGTCCCTCCTCGGAGACGTGCGTAGCTTTGCAAAGAACACCGCTGGCCCTTTTTGTTGGTGGGTTGGTGCCGAGGGAGGAGGCTGTGGGCATGGGGGCGGCGGGGAGCAAGAGTGGGCTTGGGAGGCTGCGGGCACCAGGCTCTTTGGGGCGCTTGCTGGGAGGGAAGTGGAGCTGGGCTGTGACCTGCAGCAGGAACGCCTCCTGGGGTGCATCTGTTTCTGTCATTCGGGGGCCTTCGGGGCGACATGGCAGAGGTTAGCCTGCATTTATGCGCCAGCAGGAGTTCCCCAGGCACGGGGACTTTGCTGGGGCGTGTGGGGGTTGGGGTGCCCTGGCAGGTGCCCGGTGGCTGGCAGCCCTCAGCCCATGCCGGTGGGGGGCTTTGGGAGGCGGGTAGAGCCAGCGGCAGGCAGATCCGTGTCCCCAAGTGTTGGAGAAGTGGGGGCTGTAGGGTACCTGGCAGCGCCCCTGAAATGCGCGGTTGGGACGTTTACTCGCGCCGCGCAGGGAGATGGGGCTTGAGGATGCCAAGCGCCCGTCTCCGGCCCCGTATAACACTTCGTTTCTCCTGCAGAAATGGATATAAGTTCCTCTACTGCTCGGCGCGAGCCATCGGGATGGCGGACATGACCAGGGGCTATTTGCACTGGGTCAACGAGAGGGGCACGGTGCTGCCCCAGGGGCCGCTGCTGCTGAGCCCGAGCAGCCTCTTCTCCGCGCTGCACAGGTGCCTGCCCACGCTGCCCCAGCCCCGCC